AGTAGCATCTTGTGTAGTCCAGTTCAGTCCAATCATGATAATAATAGTAACCAGTAGTAACAGTATGATACACATCAATACTGTTAGTATAATAACTGGCATACTCCACACTGACTGATGGGATGATTTACTATCAAATACAATATGAGGCTGAGGCTCTACCTCTCCTTTAACATACTGAGCCAGTTCATATTCATTCTCTTGTGTTGAACTCATTGGTTGGACAGACTGATAACATTGCTCTTCCATTTTAGTGGATCAGGAATATAATAGACTACATAAAACAGTAGAAGGTTTGTTAATCAGTTGATTATCGAGTGTCCTTTTATAAAAATCAGAAGAGCCTGACTGATGACGTGAAACATAAAGATACCACAGGTTTTTAAAATAAGCACACTACTAGTCTTTTAAACAAACTAAAATTTATAAAAACAATCCCTTGCAGCATGCTTTTATATTCTTTTGCTTCAAAAAAACTTTATTTTGGCATAGGAGGAAAGTTAAATCACACATGCACTTTATATACCGTATAGGGCATAATGTTCACGGGACGCAAATTTCACTGATTTCATGGATAAAGAAATTCGCAAAAATAAAATCCGCGAATATCAATTTAATACGGTACCCGCATGGCACACGTGGTAGAATTCGCGAAATTAAAATCCACGAATCGGAATTTTAGTAGATTTCGCGAAATTTGCCTCCAGCGAACATTATGCCCTATACAGTATATGCTGCAGGAAAGATTATAAGTGATCATATTGCTGTATGTACTACATGATTATTGGTATGAAAAAGACCCAATATCCATCTGTAATTTGTGTGGATGGCCATGCAAGGCTGCTTATTAGAAAATAAAAAATCTATCATTTGTAATTTTCTTTAAAATTGGCTACCCCACCAATATTTTGCTTTGTAGACTATGATAATGTATTTAATAGTACAATAAACAAAGCCACCACAGATATTATTATTATTATCATTAGAAAGTAATATACACTCAACAGGAACAAAAACCAACGAGTAGTAGATGCAGCAAATGGAAGCACTACTTAGAAGCTAAAATTTCATAATTCATGTCAAGAAATATTTTAACTGGTTAGGGAAAGATAATCAGTTCCATTGAGTGCAATGGGAAGTGGAGGAGAGGAAGCAAGAACTACGCAATTGATTGTAATATGAAGAAAAGCAATAAAGGACTATACTTCATAATTATTACAATACAATAAACTAAAGCTAATTACAAGAGACAAAGTCAAATAGCAAGGACTAAGAATAAACACACAAACACTAAAACTGTTCTACTGAACATAAATCTCATAATAACCAACAGGAACATCTTCATTATCAGTTCCCTCATCTCCACACACCCTCAACTCAATATAGTCAGTAGTGGTAGTGCTACCATAGTCTCTGTGAAACCATGGGATACCAGGAACATTACAACAAGCTGTTTCAAGAGTACCACAACTTTGACCATCCCAGAGTGGATCAGATGTATACAATTGCCGTTGATATGATGAATCAGCAATCCCTGATTCACAGAAATAATGATTACCAACAAATGATTGAACTTGCTGCGTAGCACCAGTAGAACAAGGACAGTTATAAGGAAGAAAATTAGTGTTATCTTCAAAATTGCCAGCCATTAGTGTCCAGACATGTTGACGAGGAGACCCACGAGTGATACTAACACCATCAACGTAATAGCTACCTAAAGTATTGTGATTTGAGTGCTGACTGCTAACTGCATCAGGTGTATAATATTGATATCCAGTTACTCTACCACACACCTGAGAATAACTGATACCATTAGATGGGAACTGAACTGATACACAGCTACCACTGCTTGTTACTGGTCTACCACAAGCTCTAACTCCTCCTGAATGGTACAGTCTAAACCCAGAAGGACAGTTCACTGTAGAGTCACTCATATCCAGATATGCTAGTCTTGTCCATCCTCCTCCTGAACCACACAGTGCTGCCATATTACAGTAAGCATAATATGAAGTGGTACCACTGGGAGTTACCAACAGATAAAAACCAGATGGATTGTTGGGTTTTTCAACTTTAATTTGTTTGCAAGAGGTCGGTAGTGCAGTAGAAACATTGTGTAGTACTAATAGTTCTTGTACTACTATTAGTATATCATCAACCACTCCAGCAGTAGAGGTACTGGTGTCTTGTATATTAGAGAGAGTACCAATAATGTTATTAAGTTTTATCACTGAGCTACTAACTGTCTCTATGACTCTATTCAATAATAATGTATTGTTCTCAAGGAATGATTCTTCTACTTCATTAAACTTTCCAATGATATCAACTTTGTTGGCTGTATCTTGCATTGTGTTGTTGAGTTGAGTGATAAGACTCAGTACTAGTGTATTGTTATTTAATGAGACAACATCAGATAATGAGGAGAAGCTAGGATCAAGATACTGGTAAACACCAGCAACAATATCATCAACCCATTGAGTGAAATTAGGAAACTGCTGCTGATTGCTATCAGTAAGCTTTTGAAGAACATTTGCCAATTCAGTGAAATTAGGAAACTGCTGCTGACTATTGTTGTTCATTGCCTGCAGTGAACTGTAGCATGAACTGGTATCAGATCCAGTGCCAGTAGCATCTTGTGTAGTCCAGTTCAGTCCAATCATGATAATAATAGTAACCAGTAGTAACAGTATGATACACATCAATACTATTAGTATAATAACTGGTATACTCCACACTGACTGATGGGATGATTTACCATCAGATACAATATGAGGCTGAGGCTCTATCTCTTTAGTATATGGAGCCAGTTCATATTCATTCTCTTGCATTGAAGTCATTGGTTGGACTGACTGATAACATTTATCCTCCATTTTAGTTGATCTGGCTATGTATAAAAGGTTTGTTGATCACTCGTTTACCGTGTGTTCTTTTATTAAAACAGAAAAGCCTGACTGATGACGTCAAAAACAAAGACCATCTAAATACCCCTCCTGGTCTTTTAAATAGACAAAGGTGGTCCTTTAAATAGACAAAGGTGGTCCTTTAAGTATGCACACCCCTAGATATAGTCTTTTAAACAAACACATATGTTTATAGACAGAGCTAGAGACATTATCTACTAATGTAACTAAAATATCCCTTATAGCATGCTTTTAAAATTCTTGTTCTTCACAAACTTACTTCTGGGATAGCATAATGTTCATTATTTTATAAAAACATAATTTTTTTACACTCAAAAATTTGAGTGTAATCCTTCGATTGTAGTTATTTGGAGAAATTGGAAATTCTTTGTTTAGTAGACTCATTACAATAAACAATTGAGCTATTAGAAGGAACCCACACCCATTTATCATTAGAAGAAGTATACAAATAACAAGAAGGAACAAAAAGGAACTGGAAAAAGGTACACCATTTAGAAGCTAAAATTTTATATTTAATGAATCTGATCTAACAATAACAAAGAAAATATCTGAGGTGAAGGATCATCATGGATTCAATGGGAAAAGAAGGAGAGGAAGCAAGGAATGCATAATTATAACTAATTAGAATGTGAAGAATCAAATTAATGAAAAAGACTAGCTCATAACAATTACAATCTACACAATAATGACAAGACGAACTAATCTAAGAGAATAAATTTACAAAACTAACTACATGATACAGTACAGACACTGTTATTAGCATCAAAGGTAAGAGCAAGATTACTGCATTGGACAAACTGAAGAAGACAAGCAATGACCACAAGAAGAGACAACATACTTTCTTGCTCTTGTTAATTTGTGAAATATTTTTTGAAAAATCACAACAGCCTGACTGATGACATTAAAATACAAGTTTTCAACACAAAGGTATAATTTAGGTATTAGTTATATGATGTATCAACCAACACACACCTGTGAGGTTATGGTATATAAAAATGCAAAGAATGTACTCTAGTACAAGACAATATCTGATAATTGATATTGCAATAAGTGGTAGAGTATGTGTATTTATTTCTAAATTATACATAGGAACCCTTTTGGCAAAGGACTAGTATTTGGGCCCATCTTGCAAGTACTGACTTGGTGACAGATTACATTATCACCAGACATCATGTGCTGCTTCAAGGAGACTAGCATCGCTCCATGTTTGTAGCATCAATAAATACATTACAACATCATAACACTTAAATGAAGCTACTTATACATGTACATGTACAGTGCTAACCTGAATGGATGTGTTTTATTAGCAATATCAGCTGACAATGGATCACATGATCTCAGTTCAGTACTGGCTGCACGATATGAAGCATTTTCCCATTCCAGTGGGTGTGTACAAAACTTTAGGCCCCACCCCTGGGGCCGTACTCTTATGAACCAGTTAGTTAAATGAATAGGAACAGCTGATAAACCTCCTGAAGGTACCACTGGTAATCCTACACTGGATCCTACAATAATAACAGTAATGAATATAATGCACAGGTATGAAGCAAAATTCTGAGTGGGTTTGCCTTGCCTACAAGTCATACAAGTGATTTTAATATTTTTCTGACAGTATTTAGCATGCGTTTAATTAGGAATGACACCTGCCATATGTACACATTAAAATGACACTCAATGAAAATAAAATTAATTATCACGATGAGTATTTAAGGTTATAATGTATTAGCACAGTGATAATGAGAAAAAGCAAAATTAAATAATATTACTAATAAATATGAGAGAGGCATACATGTACATGTATGTGTCTATTTTTTAATAATTATGACACTATAAAAATACATGCATATCACCTTTCTCATTTTTGGGTGGATCAAGTTTTATTTCCATTGGCAATTCCAGCATGTTGTGAATGACGAGTCCCGAACGAATGTTAATACATTTACGAGTCTCTCTCAATGAGACGGCAAAATAGAGTCTAGATTTAGTGCCACGCCCACTGCAAGGGAGAACATCTCGAAAGAATAATCCAATTTTATCGACTGAAATTGGAATATTTATTTCTTCGTATCCTTCAAGTTGGACTCTTAACTGATGCAAAATCAGCTCCCTAGTGTCCTAGGGAAAATTGCATGTGTGCAATGAAAATTAATACTAAATATTTTGATTTTTTTTTTGTCAATTAAAAGCAATTATTTATTATTACTTACTTACTTATTATTATTATTATTATTATTATTATTATTGTTATTATTACTAAGCAGTAATAATTGATTAATTCATTACAAAAGAAACCCACAATTAATCACAATAATAATTACAATATAACTCACTTTATGTCTAATTTTTTGACGTGACACAAAATCAAATAATTCTTCCTGGCCGGGTGCTACTTCAACCCATTCAGTGGGCGTGGCTCTTTTAGACTCAACCAAAAGTGAAGAGCGAGGGCTCTGGAGGAGCGCTGAGGCACTAAAGAGGACGTGTGATGGAAGAGAAGTAAGAGTAGCAAATTTCAGAGTGAGGCCGGTCGAATTAACAAGAGAAAAAGGAATAAATTTAGTTCTTTGTCTACTTTGACTTATGAAACGAACAGAATGGAGCAACGCCAGTCCTTGTTGGACTTTAGTTTGGTCGTTGCGTGTCGCTGACGTCATTTTAATGTCCTCTTGTGTATCTGATATATCTGAAGACCAACTGGCCTTTGTGTCTTTAACAAGTAGCAGGAATGAACTGGTTATGTTAACATTGAGTGTACTAGGAGCTACAGGAAAGAGAGAGAGAGAGAGAGAGAGAGAGAGGGGGGGAGAGAGAGGGGGGAGAGAGAAAGAGAGAGAGAGGAAGGAAAGAGAGAAATGATAAGAGAAGTAGCTAGTAAGCTGTGTTCACAATACTTAACATTGCAACTAGAAGTGCTGTATAACATAATGGTAAAACACAGTGTTCTATTTTTGCATTTCTCCACTGCAATATGTACAACACTTTCAGTCACAATGCAAGTATTGTGAACTCGGATATAGTCACAGTATTATTAAATGCTAACAAGAAAGTGAGAAGTTGATCCTATCTGGTTTCTCATTTGTATCAAGGTCAGTGCTAAAGTGAACCATCTTCTTCCAATTGAGAGATACCCTATTAAATAAATAATATTATACGTAAAGTTTATCATTTAAATAAACGCTTCAAATATTACATGTACATGTACATGTATAATTGCATGTACATGTATTTCTTACTTCCATGGTTCAATAATTGGTTCCCATGACGATATGTTCCTGTTATAATAATCCAACGAGAGAGAGGCTTTGGCGTGTCCCTCCATTCCTGAGGCAATCTGATTGGATGCTTGAAGAGAGGAGAGTGAGAACTCCACCAATGGGATATCATGATTGAGTGAGTCATCTATTAAGTATATGTTTAATGAGCCCATTAACACCTAAAAATTAAAAAAAAATTCAGGAATCAAATTAAAATTTCCGAACAATATACATGTACATATATTTGCATCAGTAAATGCAATAAAATTGAAAATTCTTTCCTAAAAATTTTTGATGTAATACCATATATTAGTGCACAGGTTGTCAAATTTTCAAACAACTTTAAAAATTCATTTAAAACTTAATTTTGATTGGAATCATTTTTATTAGAATTTAAATTCTACATGCCAATGGATAATGGTAAAGAATTACTTCAAGGGATTTTAATTTCATTTTCTGCTTTGTTTGGTCTTTCTCCTCCAGTGCCTTCCTTTCCTCTTCAAGCAGCTGCAAAGCCACCATATTGACATCTTCTCCTCCTTTATTCAATTCCTTTAGAATGGCAGTTCGTGTGAAACCAAGTGGTAGCAACCTCTTCACTAACTTCTCTGTAACATGAGATGAGAAGAGAGACAAAAGTCATAAAAAGAAGATAATGGAAGAACATAAAGGTACATGTAGTATTATTACTTTTTATTGACATGTATAATACAAGGATCACCATTATACATGTACATGTACATGTAATTACATGTATACACATGTACATGTAGGTATACATGTACATGTACATGTACATGTAGTTACCAGTACATTCATTTGTATAGTACACAATTTAGCAAAAATCAGATTATAACACTCCGTTAATATTGCCATTAATTACTAAAAATGCTAAAATTATGTAGAGCAAAACTTCTAAACTTAATCAAATGCAAAATTTGTACAAAAAAAATAAAATTTGACCTAAGTTACATGTACATGAAGCTTACCGTTAACACCTGAGAGGCGTGGCACTTGTTCAGTCCTCCCTGATGATGATGAAGATGCTGATGCTTGTAAATTTTGCAGGATAGCAACAAATAATTTTATATCGTTGTAAGACAACCTAACATTTAACTGACGCACGTCAAACTAAAAAAACAAAAATAATATTTTAGCCAATCATAAAATGTTTATTTAATTTCTTTACTCCCCTTTGTTCCTTTTATAATTATTTGTAAGCTACTTACTTCTAGTGTATGTGTTCCGCCATCTTTACTGGGCGTGTCCAGAGGTTTAAGCTCCACCCCTATAGACACAGGGTCCAGTATGGAGAGGGCAGTGTCATCTTCCTGTGACACACAGCATGAGAATAATTCCAATCCATCGACTGAGCAATGCAGTGTACTAGGACCTACATGTAACAAGAGAATGTTGTAACACAGCATGAGATCATGTACATGTATATGCACCAGGAAAAACTATTAAAGTGAAGGATGTGATTTTTGTTAACAAATCCTGTACTTATTAGGTCTTTGGCCCAATTTATGAGCAACTTGACAATACACTGACAAGAAGCTGCATGAGCACTATGCTAAAATCTAACCTTGTTCTACTTGTTCTATGGCTTTTAGTTTTAAAAAAGGTAATGACATCTTAGTACATGTCAATGTCCAGAAATTTAAACTGATTCAGGTAAAATATCAGAACATGTACATGTACGTAGCTAGCTTAGCAGCCACAATGTACATGTACAATTGTACACTACAATATACATGTTACACGTGCATGTATGATTAGCAGTACCTTTGATGGTAGGTGGTGAGTGAAAGTTTAGCACGACAGTTCCTTTCATTACAACTGCATTTGATGTGAATGACGTCAAGTCCTCAACAACAACCAAATCAGTTTCAGTGATACTCAAACCAACTTTGACATCACGATCAGGCTAAGAGGGAGAGAGAGAGAGAGTGAGGAAGTTGAAAATAACAATGTACATGTACATGTAATTACAAAATAAATTTACTTTTTTCTCCTCATCCTCTTTTGGTGGTGGCAAGGACTTTAGTTTTATTTGTAATAATGAATTATCCTCTTCGCCATCAACCTCTTCAAGGACAGACCGGTCATACTCTAGTATATTATTAGCATAACTAAGGATACTCTAGTAATCTCTTACCATCCTCATCTACTTCTGGTATCTTATTGATCACAAACTGCTTGAGTTCAATCAACAGATCAATGATTCCAATCAATCTCAACCGGTTTAACAGGATTGACGCCTTTATTGCCCTGGGGCTCAGCGTTACATGTATCTCAACCTAAAAACATGCAATCACATGACAATCAGATGACATACATGTACATGTACAGCGACAAACCTGGAGGGATCTTTTATCCTTGCTGGTATACCTTGGCTTCAAAACTTCTTCAAATACATTGGGTTTTTCAACTGAATCAGAAACTGCATATAAAAAATAATTATTAACAATAATTATTAATTAATTTTATTTATCCACATGCACAGTACACATATCTCTTGTTCTTTCACTACTTCATTTTCTCTTATTCACCTCCTCTCTCTCTCTCCTCCTTCCCCTCTCCACTACCAACCACCAATACATGAAAAATGAAATAAACTACGATTACATGTACATCATAGTTCAGCCTATGGTGGTTGGGGGTGGTCGGGACAACCACCTCAGCAAATGAACCAACCAGTTCATCACTTAGACCAACCATCCAATTAATACTAATAACCATACATAAAGCATGATATTGTAGTCTACTATATAGTACGGTGTACATAGATTTAAAAGGAACAATGTTAGTCTCCAACCACCTCTAATCTTTTTCTAGGCAGAACCCTGGTACATGCACATGTACATGTACATGTATTACCATTAGTATGGTTGTATCTAGTGTCATGTCCTATCACTGAGTGTGTAGTGAAATCCACGGTCTTGCTCTGATCAGAATGAGACTCAAATGTGAACTCAGAGAGGAGGATGTCAAATAAAGCCAGCGAGTGGTTCAAGTCATCAGGTCCTCTTGACTGAAGGAACTCCAACTGAACTTCAACAAACTGTATGTGGAACCTGAAGCCAGTCCAGACAGCAGCTACAATGGGCTGAACAAGAGAGGAATAAGCAGAGATTGTACACAGGGTTTACCATAAAGCATGCTAACTGAGCTAAACAGCATGAGCTTCATGAGCTGACAAGCACTACGATACAGTACATGGCATTTGGAGCAACTTTTAAAATTCATAAAAAATCTAATTTTGATCGGAATCAGCTCAAAGTTGATACACAGCATAAGAACATGTAAATGTATCAGGAAAAATTATAAAAATGGAGAATTCTCTTCTAGTCAATTTTGCCAAAATTTGGCCCGAGAAACAAGGCTATAGCCTTTGGTCATCGATCTAATTTTTGAGCAATTTTAAAAATTCATAAAAAATTCAAATTTTATCAGAATTAACTCAAAGTTGATACACATCATAAGAACATGTATATGTATCAGGAAAAATTATAAAAATTAAGAATTCTCTCCCTGTGGTTTTTGTCAAAATGTACCCTGTACTATAGTGCAGGGTCTTTGGCCTTATTTTTCAGCAATTTGACAATCCTTGACAACTTGACAAGAATTTGCATACTATGCCAAAACCCTGTACATGTACTGTACATGCACATGTACTACATAGCACTCAATTTTGAGACGCAAAATTGCAGATTATCAAGCAACTGTGAAGCTAGAGATCTGAAAATATTCAATTACCATTAAGGGCATGGTATCAACATTGCAAATCTGCAAAAGCTTAAATTTATTTTCATGCTTTTGTAGACCAAAAATTTTGCAGACTTATAAAAATTGCTATAAAGTCTATACAAAATTACAAATACATGTACATGTACATGTATATCTACAATTATATGCATGTACTGACCTGTGCCACAGGATCGAGTATAACTGATGATGGTTTTTCAAACTCCTCAATGTGTTCCCCAAGGTTCATGTCAATGAGTCCTTTAATGATCTCCAGTTGTCTCTTGTCCAGCATCAAATGAACTGCAGACAGCTTGGCATCAATATGAATATCAGGAACTAGACAAATGAATATACATGTACATGTAGGTCTCCTAAAGCTGTAAGTTTCTTTATGTACATGTACATATATACCGTACATGTACATGTAAGTCTCCTACAGCTGTAAGTTTCTTTATGCTTTTCATTCCTCTCTCTCTCTCTCCTCTCCCTTGCTCTCTCTCTCTTCTCTTCCGCTCTCTCTCTCCCTCCTCTCTCCCTCACTTACCATTTCTGCAAAAGTCCTCATAAAGGTTCCTCTCAATGATGAGTCTCAGTGTTCCTCTCTCCTTCAAACACTTTCCTTTCTAAACATTTTAATAACCAAAAATCAAACAAAGAAAGAAGTCAAAAATTATGGAATAAGCGTACGTACACATGAAATGCTAATTATACATGTAAATTATTACAAAGTGACTTTTCTAGCTTACATCTCTCTCAATGCTGTAGTGGTATCCATCTTGAATATTATTAGTGTGTGGCAATGGTTTTTTACTAGCAGAGAATACATCAACATTATCTAACAGGAGCTCCATCACATCAAGGAGCACTGGCCCTTGGTTGTATAGGAGTCCCTCTATCGCCTCTTTATCATCGTCCGTCCGAGATACTCTGCGGGTGTGGTCATGTATCAACCAGCCTCGCCCAGGACTAGGGATAATAAATAATAATAACAATAAAGATTCACATAAAATGAAATCCATAAAAGTACTACAAGTACAAGATATCATACAGTGTAAATTTAACCTGCAAAATGGGCAATTTTGTGCTACACAGCACAGTAATACATGCTACAATAAAATAATGATAAATTATCAATGCTTAAGTACATGTACATGTACATGTAACGTCAGAATAAATTCCATACCTTGAGGCAAGTGAAGCTGGTGTACTTTGAACTCTTGGAATGAGAGGCGAGGCCTGACCACGCCTCCTACTGTGTGTCAGGGTACCTTCGTCACCATCATACAGGAACTTGTTAGAGAGTGTCAAGTGATTAATGACTCCACCCATGATTTCAGGAGAGAAGGCGTGTTTAGGTATGAGTATCATTGGGCCATGAGCCTCTACTTCTAATAATATCCTCGGCTTACGATCAGGAGCATATGACTATGAGTTAAAAAATAAAAATGATTGATTAATATTTTTAAAAGTAATAATAACAACAATACAAACAATAATAAGTAAAAAAATTAACACTTCCATGTCATTCACAATCATAAATTTACATCCATACAATGATACTCATCTATATATACATTATTAAGAGTTGCTGACATTCTGCAATCACACATTCATCACTGCTTACCAGTTCTCCACGTGAGAGTGCTTTCATGCGTTGGAATGCATCAATGAGTTGTGGAAAATGTTGCAAGAAGGAAATGGTCTCTTTAAGGAACCTCATAGTGTGTAGATACCTAATGGCAGCTATTGATACATTAGCACTGATATCATATGGTCTCTCTAGTAATGGATCCTTCCTACCAAACCTGAAAGAGAGAGAGAGAGAGGGGGGGGGAGAGAGAGAAGGAGAAAGAGAAGAAAGGGGAGGAGAGGGGGAACATAGAAAGAGAAGTAAAGGAGAAGGTGATCATAAGCAGGAATGAACTTCATAATTGTGTGAACTAATTTTAGCTAGGGGCTTGTAACTATTAGCAATTTATCACAAGTCAGTTTAAATTAGAGTTTTAAAAAATTTGATAATTAGTAGACAACATGTACATGTACATATTCTTACAAAATTATATGCTGAATGAATAACAAATATACATGTACATGTACATGTACATGTACATGTACATGTACATGTTGTATGTATAACTAACTTGAACACATCAAAAGAGAGTGCTTGTTGTCCAGTAGTAGTGAGTCTCTCCCTATAATAAGATCCTGTCTCTGTCAGATCAATTAGTGTAGCAGTACCAAGGGATCCCTTCACCCTCAGGTTACCTTGACTAACATTAACATCAGCACTCAACTCAGTAGCAGTACCTAGAGCAAGGGAGAGAGGGAGAAAAAGACAAGACAGGGAGAGAGAGAAAGGGAGGGAGGGAAGAGAGAAAGAGACAGGAAAGGGAGAGAAGGGAACGGGAGGAACAGAGAGAGAGAGAGAGAGAGAGAGAGAAATTGTGCACATGTACTTATTTGGACATTACCTCTAGCGAGGGGATGCTCCTGCTTATTAAGAGTTAATGAAAGGCTCTGGACTCTTAAGGAGACGTCTGCTGATAGCTTACCATCAGTACCCCACACAGTACTAGACCTCTCCTTCAGTAAACTGGATTTAGAAACCGGTTTAATGTACACGCTACCGTCATGCTTCAACGAGTACTGCTCGAGCTCGTCCAGGTTCGTTGCAGTGGGCGTGGCTTCAGAGGGAGAGGAGGGCGGAGTCGGGACACCAATACCAAGATAGTCAAAAAGCAGTACCCAGGTTTGCAAATTAACAACCAAATACACTGAACTGAATAGCCCATTGACATGTAGACTCACCCCATTGTAACTAGTCTTGAAACTAGGATCATCTTCAGAGACATATATCCCAGAGATACTAATAGCATCCTGTACATCAGTTACTGACGATGAAATTGATGAGTCAGCAGGAGGCATGGCCGATCCATTAGTGGGTGTGGCTAGCTTACCGACCGGTACTAGAGGATTGAACGATCGAAGAGGAGAGTAATCGACACAAGGAGGCTTGGGGGACGATATCAACTGAGAGAAAGGGAGGAATGATCTAGGACTGATTCCCAGACTAGGAGTATGAGAGTATGGAGTATGGGAATGAAGGGAGCTATTAGTGACGGGGGACGAGAATGGGAGTGGTTTGAGAGTGGACGAGAGTATGTATCGATAGGAATCATCTTCCTGCAACAAGTCTTCTATTATGATCGACTTTAGTGCCAAATCAAAGTGGGTGTGGTGGGGCGTGGTCTTACGACAGCGTGCAACAAAATCATCAAATGACACAAAAACAATGTCTTTTTGAACGGACCCAATGAGATGCTTCAGCTCAATGGAGAGACGTGGTAGAGAAAAACTGCAATAAATCTTAGGGAGGGATTCAACAGGAGAGGAAATGGGCGGGGCAGTGGGTGGAGCATCAGAGGCGGAGTCATCAAATGAAGACTCCATTGAAACAGGTATGTACAATCCTTTTCCAGCAGTTAATTTCATTTGAGTAAAAACTGAATTTGGTAACGAAAGGAATATTGATTTCGAGCTACACATACATGTTACTTTTACATCAACCAGGGACTCGTTATCGTACTGACCACACCCACCAACAGCTCTCTCAATAACAAACAGTAAACTGGTCTCAGGTAAAATCCTATAGGAGGAGCCTGGAATTAGACCACACCCACCTCTAACGGCCGTTGACTCGGAGACTAAGTAATCTCGACTTGGAATGTCATGAGACGAATGTAACGAAACATTCGACACGTGTAGAGTGAGACGATCAACTAAACTTGAGTTGAGATTGAAATCAGTAATACTATTAGTATCAGTGTCATGGCTACGATCCTGTAACACGGTCTCATCTTCAATATCAATAAACTCGTTCTTGATACCAATCTGTCCCAAATGAGCTATCAAGCAATCCTGTCCACTAGCAGGAGAGGGTAATACAACCACAGGTGATTCTATCTTAACATCGATAAGGACCCGATCGGAAATCCCACCCATATCAGTCTCGTCCTCGTCAGTGGGTGTGGTCAATTTCCGCCCACCTAACGAGGTTGATAATTGGCTCAGCCGAGACGCTAGTTGACTCTTCTCTCTCACGAGTCCTTTAGCAACTCCAAGAGCTGCCGTCTTCATGGAGTCACTGAGTTTATTGAAATACTGCACGAAGTCCAGGGCAAACAGATTCATGTGATAAATGAAGTTTACCGAATGAGTATAGACTATCGAGGGGACGTGAACAAACACGCTAATGTCAAGCTCTTCTTCCTCTCCCTCTCTCTCGTTCCGGCTGATACTAAACTGGAGACAGTCGGCCATTTTCTTTAGCGAGTCAAACGAGGTCATCATAGTCGTTATCATGTCTTGGTCTCGTCCCTCACGCCACGCCCCCAGCGAGACAATAAGAGGGTGTTTCTTACCGGCCGGGGTTAGATCAGTGATTCTGACTCCTTCAAGATATCCTGACACTCTCTCTTCATTCCTACTGAAAGACAGGTCGACTCCTAGACCAGTCAGTTCATAGCTACTGGTGAATAGCGTGGTCTCTCCCTCATCACCATCGTCACGTTTATCGTCTCTTTTATTGTCCGGTGACCCTCTCAGTGTCCGTATGCTTATCTTGTCTAGTTCTAAAGAGAGGTCGGTCTGTGTGGGCGTGGTCTTTTGCCGACTGGTTGTAGAGGAGGTCTTTGGGCTTGGGGTTGCTCTGTCTCCCTTAGAGACGTGAGGTGGTAGACACTTCTTTGAGAATGTGATCAATTCAACGATTGTCTTTTGATTGGCTGGAAAGAATAGAGAGAGAGAGAGAGAGGAGGTAAATTCAACATGTAAAGGGTAATAAACAGACATTTTGTAGTGTACATGTACACGTACATGTAGTTAATCTAGCTATCTCTGTTTATCTGCAATCTGCATACACAACTACTCTACTGTACATGTACTTGTATGCAATCAGAGAAGCCACTGAAGAGTAGTTAAGGAAGGCTGGTTCAAATCCTATTGTTTCTAATTTTTTTAAAAATACATGCACTGTGTACATATAGATTTCTGATCAATTTAAAATAGTACTCCACTCTTTAAAAATAGTATTGACAAAGTACAGTACTATTTCCCCATACATGAACCTACCACAACAATGTAAGTACATAAACTCACCTACTATATCAACTGGTGTACAGTGAACATTACACTTCCTAATGATATTCTGATCAGTGTATGCTGTATAGGCCCCGCCCTCACCTCCAGGGAGCAGTACAGTTGGATGGTCAGGAGACAAAGGGCCCAGTACTAGCAATGACATAAAAATGAGTCCATCACTAGAAGGACAATACTCAAATACATCCCCTTCAATCCTCCGTGGTCCAGTTTCAGTAAATAGCTTTTGTCCATTAGAGCAGAATATAAGTTCGTACTGTGGCCCGTAGTCTTGTTTAGTGTCCACTATCACACATTCCTCCACTAGGAGTCTCACCGATGTGTCATATGGTCTCTGTATGGCACCGGCTCTAACACTGAGTATCTTTAACTCAACCAGTCTTACACCTGAGGAAAGGAGAGATAGAGTAATTTACACTGTACTTTTAGTTATCACACAATGTACATGTACATGTATATTTGTGAAGCTTTGTCTATCCTTGCATTGTCTCAAATTTTCACAAATTAGCAGAAATTGTGGGCCACTAAATTTCTGGCTATAAAAAGTACATGCACAAATGTACGTGTACATGTACATTAGCAAAAATTTCCCTTAGTAATAATAAACTAGTGTATATACACATAGTTTATGCAATGTAGAATTTTAGAAGTGTAAATGTGAACATTTTCACAAAATGCTACAGTTTTATATAATACATGTATATGCATATACACTCTTACCATTAGCATTCAAGTCCAGATTAACCTCATTAATATTCACTTGAACTTTAATCAATTGTTGCGATGCGTACTCAGTTGACAAGTGCTTGACTCTCCTCGTGGCGTCAGTCGCATGATCATCGGCAGTAGAATCATGTGACTCACTCTCATGCGACGATGATCCCATGAAGTTAAAAGCCGACTGATAGAGGGAGAGGGAAGAGTGAGGACTGACGTGATCAAGTGAGTAATACATTGATTTGATTCCTTCGCTAGTAGCAGTGATAGTATGATCAGTATCAGTATCAGTATCAGCATCAGTATCAATGTTAGTAGGTGGTATCAGACATGTTAATAATGTGTGGACCTAACAAAAGTAGGAAAAATGAGTTTGTTTAATTTCTTTATTAAACCAACTGTGTGTGCATAGTACTGCATACAATAAATAACGATGAGCAGTATTACCAGTACATATGCATGACTACATAATTACCTTGGTCTCATCAATATGTAAATGTATCAGTGGTAGATCAACTGTAATGTTAAACTGAGCTCCATCTCTTTTAACTCTAAAAGCAAAACAAATACATGTAACTAAAAGTAAATAAATAAATAAATCAATAAATAAATCAATAAATAAATACAACTAACAGTGATGTGATTAATGTACATGTACATGTACATATCACTATATTTTTCACAGTTACTCTATATAATACGTGAACATACATGTACATGTATGTGAACATACATGTACATGTATATACAATTACAGTACCTCTCTATTTGTGCTGTTGCGTTAAACTGGTTCAATAAATGAAGCAAGCTCCGCCCACTACTAATTGCCGACTGTATCTCATTAAATTCGCCTACCAATACTTGTATCTCTGATAACTTGAGGACGTAACTAAAAGGAGGTGTGACCATTTAAAAACCCACCCACACAAATAATTGCATACCCTTGTACTTTACATGGACGGTTCTTAATCACTGATGGGTGTGGCTTCTTGTTAATAGCCTCTTCCACTTGAGTCTGAGTTAAAGACTGAGAGGATTCTGATAAAAGGGGTGGGGTAGAGGGCGGAGTCACAAACTCATCTAAAATTGTGAAAAAATAATTTTCGAAAATTAAATTAAAACCAATTTTTGGCAATTAGAAATTTTTTTAGATATTATTACCGTCATCATCAATGTCAAGATCATCCTCTTCTGGCTCGATCCTCTCGCTATCAAA